AGAAAGAAACTCATACAGGTTTGGAACAACTTGAGGGAGAGTAAACGACAGAATTTTCATTTTTGGGTGAATTTTCATTTTAAGGCTGGAATACATTACACGACTTTAAAGATTTTAAAACACTATGCGTCATACACTTGCCGACTTTGCAAATGGTTACAGAGAAATCTGGTCATCATACACTAATCGACTGTGCATCACACACTCAAGTTGTTCGGAAATGCAGAAACGTGTTCCCTGTTGCTAAAAGACGCATGACATATAAAAACAATATGTGCTCTAAATTTGGCTTAAATCTTATCTTCCGATTATATGAAATCATAATTGTATAAAACCCAATATATGCATACTGGCTGCTACTTTTGGAAACTAGCATTGACTTGCGTTCAGACTGCAAATCTGTGCAAAATGCGTTTAGTGTATTCTAGCCCTTAGTTTTTACAGTATAAATCTAACATGCCATAACTGCAGGACAATCTAGTTCAGATCCCTAGAAATGTCAAATATTTCCTATCCAACTCTAGTGCAGAGACAATTTGTTCAATGATTTGTATGGCAATGTAATAATGCCGATAAAATATAATGTTATTGGTCAATTTACCAAAAAAAAGTGTGAGCTTGATGTCTTTAAAAAGTAAAATTCTTTTTTTATCTGTATTTACTCATTTTGTGGTCCAACCCTGTATTCTTCCTCAAGAAAATCCTTGCCATTCTGAAATGAAAGAGCCAAGAATATCTCGTGAAATTTCAGGAGCAATGGAGTGCTCTGAAGGTATTATCTAAGATGTAGTGGCACCCTTCTAACATCTACAGGCTTTTGACATCAACCCCTTTGTGGAATCTGAATCTACTTCACGTCGTACTAAATCATACTGTCACACCGATTAATGCATGCTGTAAAAACTAATGAACGTTCCAGGTTTAAAACAAGTATATGTGGGATGCATTTGATTACCACAAATAATGTGAATACATTTAGGTCAACATGATTTTCTGTGATAATTGACAGCATGCCGCAGTTGAGCTTGTTTTGAACCCGGAGCACCTTTAAAGTTTTTTCACCTACTCTCTTGACTGCTTCACTGATTGAGGTGGAGGAAGACTCTTTGATAGATCTGATCTGCATGACTGTTGCAAAAATGAGAACATTCCCATTCCAGTTGTAAAGTATGCAGTGTGAGAACAAAATGTTTTCGTTAAATGGTGGTAGGGGTTCACTGTGGCAGGATGGAGTTAGTTATCATACCTCAAAACTAGGTTTTTGGTCTTGAAACTGGTTTCCTCTTGTGATCTATAAGCATTCTTTTCTCTTCATTACTGTTATAATCATGTTCCTTTAAATACGCATGATCTAAAAACCTAATATATTTCTCTTTTATAGATGATTTTTTGAATATTGATAGGGGTAAGTTGTGTTCCCATCACATTTAGTCTTGAACATTTCTGACTTTAATTGCGACAGTGAATGATTATGATTTTTCCCATCAGATTACAGACTTGAGAAACCTTATGGTGAGTAGACCAAATAATTACTATGAATTAATGTAACTTGAACACAAATCAAGATGGCTAGAGTCTCATTTTTCACACTGAAAGTTGTTCTTCCTTTAGCTACAGACAAAGTGGCTCTTCTGATTGGTAACCTCACATATCGAAACCACCCACAGCTGAAAGCACCCATGGTTGACGTGTACGACCTCACCAATCTGCTGCGGCAACTCAACTTTAAAGTGGTGTCTCTGCTGGATCTAACCGAGTTCGAGATGAGGAACGCTGTGGAGGAGTTCTTGTCCCTGCTTCATAAGGGAGTGTATGGTACTGTGACTTCTATACAGTTTATGCTACTGCAGTCTCCTATGAACATTGTAATCGTAATTTGAAATTCAAGAAACTTTTTCCACTGTAAAGATCCTTTTGTGTGATGTAAAGGTCCCATGGAGGTTCTTCATGAAACCACAGATGCCAATAAAGAATCTTTATTTTTAAGAGTGTACCTGGTTAAACATTGACTTCAGATGTGATTAGGAAAGAATTAGTTATTTTCTCACCATTTACTCACCCTTGTGTCATTCCAAATCTGTTTAACTTGGTGACTTCTGTGGAGCACAAAAGGAGATCACGCTTCTCATTTCCATATAACAGAAGTATACAGTGACCAG